GTATGTTTCACTTTTATATTAGTGATAGGCACAAGTGGTGAATCTTCCAAAGGAGAATGTGACAGGCTAATCCACAGAGAGGAACGTTCCTGGCTCAGTGATTCCCCATGACTCTGACAGTTTGAGATATTTGGAAATGTCTGCAGGTGAAACTTCTTTACATCATTATATGTATGCATTGCACTGTTTCACCCAGCCTTAGTCATCAATACAGAGCAAATTTATTGATTAAAAAGAAACTGCAAAACACTTTCATTAGAAGTGTCTGTGTGACAAGAAACTGTATTTTTGCTCCTGTGAACTTTTCTGTACGAAGATTTTTTTTTTTTGCCCCCCAGCAATAAAACTGCAAAAAGATCTGTCCCCTGGAGAAATCTGGTCTCGCGTGATTACAAAAATGGGATGTGAGAAAAATAAGTAGTTCATAATATCCTACAGTTTTGGAAGCTTCAGCATGTGTGTTAATACTGTGCATTTCATATTTGTTTATTTTGCTGTCTTATGCCGCAGGAAATGGTAATTTTTGTTTGTATATGCATGTTTGGGAATTTTGATCTGTGATGATATTTTCTCTCCTCCATCCAAGGACAATTACCAAACAGTATATGAGATAAGAGTGTTTGCCAGCAGCAAAGGCATAGTTCTGATTAAAAAGAAATAATGGCGAGCTATTTTAAACACCTAAAGCTTTGCACAGACATAGTCAGTGATCCTTACCCAGAGCTAAGGCTTCCCTTTGCATAACTAATAACCGCACTTTCTCTTCACACATTTGGAAACAACCTCCCGAGACACATCCAAGTTTCTTCTTTGAACTGTTCTTTTTATCCTTCAGAAGCATGTCCACTGTGGAAGCTCCTCAACTCACCAAAATGGTGAATTTTCACCAGAGCATAAATTAAATGTAGTTGCTATGATTATGGTTGAAAAAAGATAAGCCAAAAAAAATCATCATGTAATTAAAACTTTATATATTGTTTCAAATATAGAACACAAGAACAGTGTGTTCTGGAAACTACATTATCTGTAATGGTGCATAATGCTGTAAAGTGGCATGTACAGTATGCATGTCTTTCCTGTTGTATGTTCTCAAACAAATTTGAAAAAAATGTTAATCCTGAAAGTTTAATATCTTTTTAACTTGAAGTTCAAGCTATAGTTTTAAATTAATACATTGTTTTTATATACTTATGTTGTATGTGAATAAAATGGTCTGCTGTATGAGAAACTCTGCTCTGGTTTGTCACGTTGCACCTGCAGTTCGAGAACACTGCTGTGCGACGGCTGTGTTCAGTGTGCTGAATATGACAAGTGGAAGGTCCCTTATTGTGTTCAGTGCGCTGAATATGACAAGTGGAAGGTCCCTTATTGTGTTCAGTGCTAACAAAACAGAACTGACACATTTAATCCACTCATGTAGCCATAATACAAAACTATTAAATATCACATGCCGTGAAAAAAATAAAGAAAGAAAAATGGGGTTAAGTAAAATAAAGAAATGCTACTCAGTAGATTTTAAACAACAGGTTGACTGAGGGTGTAGTACAAGCACATTTGTGACTAAGGACTTTATCTAAGGTTTAATGCATAATGCATTACACATAAAAGCAGGTTTAACTAAGGTTTTCTAGTTTGCATATACACTCACTTTATTTGTTTGTTTTTATAAAACATTTGTTTCTAAATAGACTGTGTATAGCAGCCGTAACACATCACTGCATCTTTGACATTTTTATGTTGCCTCTCAGCTTTCATCATTTTAATGTAAGCAAATATTATAGTACAAAAATCACAGAAACTTACAGAAAATATGTGTAAAATCTCCAACAACATGAGGTATACAAGGTATAGTTTGATTATGAAGCCTGGGACCCCTGAGAATCCCTGAATTTCATGTTTTCAATTATACATTTTTACTACACACCACCAACAAGCTGAAGCAACTTCCCACATGTGACCCTATCACTGTTTTTGCCATTTTTGCTGTAGTTTGTGCAGCTTTAGCTTTTTTTCTTCAACAACCTGCCACTGAGATAACAATGTTCTTCCTGTATATTTCTCTTATTATCTTGACTGGAGCAGACGGGGATGACTGGAGCTTCTGAAGCCAATGTTCCAAGTTTGATGTCTTTTGACACTACGGCAGCCACTGTTTCATCAGTTGATATCAGTCTCTGTCTGCAGGCCTCTGTCTATTGTTCGGTGCATGTACTATAAATCTGCGATGCCATCTCTCTTTTAGTTAATGGAGCCTCTGTACAAACACATATAATATTTGGACTGACTGTTGGCAGGTACTGTACAGTATTTGCAGATGCAAGTTTGCATCCTAGCTGCATGGAGCTTATAACTATAATGTATTAAAGCATCTGTTAATCACTGCATTTCCATTCTAAAACTGTAACTAGCCACCACCAGTTACAGCCTGTCTTATTCTGATGCCTTGATGCTCCATGCTGTCCAGAGACTCTGCTGGCCCCGGCAAAGGGGAACCTTTCTTCATTGCAGTATTTACAGTAGGAGAAGCCTGCAGGCATTATTGGCATGGTCACTGGTGGAGCATATGCACTTTCCAGTGGGAGCCCATCTGACAGGGCCACTCACTGATGACTACTCGCATAGTCTCCATATGTGGCAGACAGAAGGGCCTGCACACACACACTGCCCTTCAACTAATGAGTCCAAGTCACCTGGCTTATACCTCAGCCGTTTAGAGGACTTTGAGCAACAGCAGTGCTTCGCCTACAAACATACACAAACTCCATAAGGGGCAACTTAGAGTTGTAAAAACAGAACTGCTCCCTCACCTTCACCTACATCCAAGCGGGTACACTGACTGCAACACACACAAGCACGCAAACACACAGGAAGATGACTCAAAAATATTTAAAACATACTGTAGTTGTACCATTAGCCTCACCTTCACCCCCATCTCACAAATACTCACATGCACTCGCATGCAGACTCGCAGCAGAACTGAGATGTGATGAGAGAGCAAAAATAAGAGAGTGTAAAAAATAAAGTGAGGGAATATGGAGAAGGAGGAAAGCTGCATGGTGCAAGTGTGAATTCAGCCTCCAGCTGGGCAGCTAAATGGACTCGGTCAGTCATTAGCATGCAAAGGTCTCATCCGGACATGTTAGGTTATTCATTCCCCAGACCAGTTCTCCCCATGCTGAAAATGCCCAGCTACTTCCTCTTCACTTTGCTCCTAATCAATGCCTTTTTACTAGTTGTTGTCCTGGTGGCTGTTTTCCACAACACATCTTTGACAGCACTCCTAAACCCCGCCAGACACAGGTCGGCTGAGTGTTTTGGGGCCTGCAGATGTTACTGCATACTTAATATGCCTGATCACAGGAGCCCCAACCTCGCAATGTAATTCTGCTACCCAAGGTGCATCTGTTCTGCTTGTACTCAAAGGAACCCCATGCTGGTGGAGCTGTTTCTCAAAGTCACACAAGTCATATGGTGCCTCAGCTGCTGCCTCAGTAACAGGCAGTGGAGCTATCAAAGGCAGCCTGCCCAATGGGGACCAGTTGGATATAGACCGCACGCAGTATGGCATATGACTTAAAGGCAATGAATAGAAATTGTATAGACTGAGGTTGTTTATTTTACGCCACACACTGGGAAATATCTGTGTGCATCACCTGCCTTATATATACTGTTTTCCTGATTGTATAGTGGGAGGATGGTACAGTATGGTGGTAAGGATGTACAAGCAATAGATTATGTGAATACACATGTTGCTGTTGGCAGTGTGTCCTCTTCACCTGTGTGCTATTACCTGTTCATTATCCTGCGGGTTACATAAAGGTCATTGGCTAACTGTGAAATTCACCACAAACTATCCTACGCAACTTTCAAACAGCGTTAACAAAATGAAGCATAACTCATGAGAAAGAGAAGTAAGGACACTACACAACTGTTAAAAAACTCGATTAAACTACAACTGCAGTATTCCCTGTGGAGACTTTCTTTCCTCTTCTACTTCTTTCGAATTTTCTCCATTTCAAATACATCTCCAGTCACAAAGTAAATAGATTGTGTTTCCATGCTACTTTACTTTTTTATGCTTGGAGTCAAATGTGATGTTTCTGCTTCTGTTTCTCCCTAAAGACTTTGGCTGACCCACTTTCCCTCATACTGTGCACCTTGAGGCTGTTAATGAAATAAAGAATATTTACAGTGGATTATTTAGAATCAATCTGAAGTGATTAAGTGATGAGTTTGGAACAATTATATTTTAATCAGTGCAGTGAATATTGTTGCACAGAAGGTCATGCGTGGCATAGGTACTGTATTGATCTCTGGTGCTGAAATGAATTTGATTTATTCTGGCAGAGATACCTCTCCATTTAAAAACACTAACACCTGAGCTTCTGTTGAGAACTGTGTCACAAAATGAAAAATAATTATGATGATAAAAGAGAATTTCAGGGTTTTAGGGATGCTGTAAAATAGCGATCAGAGTTTGTTTGGACCTTGAAATGTAGCTGTTATCATAACCCACAAGCAGAAAAAGTCAACTGTCATTTCACATGATGGGAGGTGTTAGCCAATTATTTGAGACCACATTTGATTGGTTTGAATAATTTTGCAGGGTCAGAAAAATGTGGATTTGAATATGTGCATATCTCCCTAACTTACAGAATCAACAATTCAATTCAGTTTTGCATCAAGTGAATTGGTCTAACTATGGTCCTAGATCAGGTCTCTGTTACAATACTTTAACATCAAGTGAATTGGTCTAACTATGCTCCTAGATCAGGTCTCTGTTACAATACTAGGAACAAATGAAGCTGTGAATATCTTCTATCAGAGGTGTAAAAATAAAAGTAAGATTCACCTCATAGGAAAAAGAGTTATGCTTTTACCAAAGTGGACACAGACCTTTTCTCTTCCTGTCGATTTTGCATTGATACTGTTTAACCTGCTCATCAGACATCTGAACAATAAGCATGTATATTAATTGCAGTGCTTGTCTCATTTTGCAGGTGATTTTGATGCTGACAAAACTATTTGACTTCAACCTCAACAGTGTTACTGAGAGTTCATTATGGAGGTAAGCTTATCACACTGCATGAGTTCATGACATATAGGGAAAAGATAGAAAAGCCTTAAGAAGCTAGTGATTTGACACATTAAAATGGTCTAATTTGTAGAGTGGCCATTTCAGAAAACACAACAACAAACTGGAGAGCACTCAGGGTGCAAACCTCCACCAAGGCAGATCACTGTCCCCATAATGCATTACACATAAAAGCAGTATTCCCATCATAGTTTGTCCCTCGCTATATGATTCCTGGACCATGAAAACCTACCCCTAGTGTTTGGAATCACACTGACAGTATTATTAGTTTGAAAGGTATTCAAGAAAACAAACAGATCAGTAATGATGCTTTTTCAAGATCTACCTCAAAAACTTTTAAATATATGAATTGTTTTGTGGGACCTTTCCAAAAAAGCAATCAAATTCTATTCATAATTTTTTGAGCTATGATGTGAACAAACCAACAGATGTAATATTAGAAAACACAAATTTTGTCATCACAAAGATTTGAGATGACAAAAAAGGGGAGACAACACTGCTCACTTGTGGTTGGACAGGACCTGAGACAGCAGAGGGAAAATAGGCAATAGGCAAAATAACAGAGCCCGGATATTTTATTTAATAGAAAATATTATAAACTAAAATGACCACTTCATTGTTGTATGCCTTTGCCAAGCAATCAGATTCATGGAAATGGGACAGAGGTGGAGTCACTAACCATGACCTTTGACTTTTGACTACCAAAATCTAATCAGTTCATCCTTGAATCTAAATGGACATCACATTTGAAGGAGGCTGGAGGGTGAGGATGGATAGGTAAAAAGAGGTTCTACTGAAAAAAAAAAAGTTTTGTATTTCTCAGAGCTGCTTGATTTAAACAATTAAATTGGAAGAAATTAATGTGAAGTATTTCACTTTTAGTGTGTGCACTTTGACCTAGCCTTTGTGATGTGTGAATTTGCACAACACTGTGGTAGTCTAATATGTAAAATAACATATCATTTTCCAAGGCTTTCCTCCAGATATGTGTTTGCAGAAGAAGAAAATGAAACACTAGTAATAAAGTGCTGATCAACTGGCACCAAAAGGAAGCACATATGTGTGTGTATTCCCAGTGGTGCGGTGGGTAGAGCAGTCGTCTCCCAACCGGAAGGTTGAGGGTTGAGGGTTTGAATCTCAGTGCCTGCAGTCCACATGTTGAAGTGCCCTTGGGCAAGACATTGAACCCCCAAGTTGCCCGTGATGGGGGCTCGTATGCATGCAGCAGCCCATGGCCCTCGGCTCCAAACTAAATTTTGTTGTACGTGTCACAGTGTTACAATGACAATAAAATAAAGCTTCTTCTAACTTGTAATATGAGGTATTACTGCTAGCACAGTAAAGGTAATAGTGGACCAGCTATCACAAGAGCTAGTTATGACTAGGAGGCAGAAATGAGAATGCAACACTGAGTGACCGCAGCCAAGACAAACTAACTGCTGGTTGGTACCTTGTATTAGTTAGAAATTAATAAAACACAAATTTTAAATTTCCATATATCACATTACAAAACAAAAGAAAAGAACAAATCTCAGCCATGAGAATACATTTCCCATATGAACCAATTTCTTGTCTTTTAGTTTCCCTAAGGAGTTCTTACAAAAAATGTATGTAATATAATGTTGATTACATTATATTACATACATTCCTATACTGTATTACAAACTCTCACTGTAAAGGTCCAAGTCAGTTCAAAGTAAGTGTAAAGTGAAACAGTAATTCAACAATTACACATTTCTGTACAAAATAGTATAAATCAATTCAACATTCCCAGAATATTTCAGTATATTACAGTATATGCCCATAATTCAGACACTACCATACATCATAATCATGTGTATTTCAGTCTTCCACACAACCCGTGATGGCTGCACACACAGTCCTTCCACCATACGGAAGGTAAGTTCAAAAGAAAATAATCCTCTGGAGTCAAGTCAGTGTTCAAGTCAAAGTCCAAACTGTACCCGGCGTACATGTAAGGCGGTAATTGATGCTATTAAATCTGCAGGTGTCCTACCACAATACAGAAATCATGGAAGTTGGCTGACTGTGGTTTTGGGGTCTGCACTCCAAGGTTCAAAGAGCCTGATGTCCTTTCAGTGGGTTGGCTCAACCATCACTTTAGGTCCCCTTTAAAAAAAAAAAACCTGACCAATTTGGTTGTTCCCATTCCCTTTCCCACACAAAGTTCGCTGATTGGGTTTCACTGTTTATCACTTATTACCTAACCACAACCTCAGAATTGTTGAGGATTGCTTATGACAACCTTATATGGAGTTTATTTAGTATTTTTCAAAGCTTTACTCATACAACTTAGGAGCACGTCTGCTGTCACTCATTTCTTCTGGTGTCTGCTGCAGGTACTTTCACCAACCTGCCTCTGGTAAAATGGCCCTCTGCATTGACTGACAGGTGTCATGTGACAAGGTTAAGGCTTTTGGGACAAGGTTACATTTTATTATCAGGCATATGCCAAATATTACACTTTCTTTGAAATTGTATTGTGCAGCGGTACTACCTGGTGGTCACACACCTGTCTCCATAGAGGTCCCTGCACAGATGTCTTCTTCCAAACTTCCCAGCCTGCCTCAGGTTCACCTGTTTATTAAAAAACATAAAGCAAACACCATTTCGACTCTGTGACAAGAGCATCAAATACAAATCAGAAAAAGCTGGGACATTATGTAAAATAAAATTAAAACTGAAAAAGTGATGTGTAAATCATCTGTGTCCTGTATTACATTGAAAACAACACACCAGCACATTATTTGATGTGATACCTCATCAGTTTTATTCTTTGTTACAAAAAAACACTCACTTCAATTCTGATGCTGCAACACATTCTAAAAAAGTTGGGACAGTTGCATTTCAGGGCCAGTAATGAGGTAAAACAATGAAATGATTCCATTAGAAACAGGTGATGTCAACAGGTGACTGTATCATGATTTGGTACAAAAGTGGCATCCAGGAAAGGCCGAGCCCTTTAGGAGTAAAGATGGGCTGAGGACCACCAGTTTACCAACATATGTGTGAGAAAATTATTGAAATGTTTAAAAACAATGTTCCTCAAAGAAAGATAGGAAAGGATTTGGATATGTCACCTTTTATGGTGCAGAACATAATTAAAAGATTCAAGGAACCAGGAGGGATTTCAGTGTGTAAAGGGCACAAGCCTAAGCTGGATGACTGAGCTCTCTGATCCCTCAGACAGCACTGCATCAAGAATTGTTACTGTTCTATAAGCAATGCAACCACCTAGGCTTAGGATTAGTTTGGCACACCTGTGTCAGGCACTACAATACGTAGTTACTGTACATCCATAAATGCTGCTTAAAACTGCTCTGTGCCAAAAGGAAGCCCTATGTCAACAATGTCCAAAGGCTCTGGGCTCCAAGGCATCTGGGACAGACCGAGGACACCAAGTGATTTAGTGTGTCAGGTGTCATTTTGTCCCATTCTTCTGCAAACAAGTCTTAATGTGTACAACAGTCCTGGGTCTTTGTTAACACAATTTCCATTTCAAAATGCACCACACATTCTCTACTAGGGACAGGTTGGGACTGCAGGCAGGTCGGTCCAGCACTCACACCCTTTTCCTCCAAAGCCAGGCCTTGGTAATGTACAATATGAGGTTTTGCATTGTCTTGTTGAAATTCTACGGATACAGAAGAGCTTGCATTTCACCTTCACTCCACCTGATGTTGCTCCCACATCTCTGTGTATTGTTCAACTTAAAGGCGCCATCACAGAAGTGATTACCTTTGCCAAGGGCACTGACACAACCTCAGACCATGACAGACTCTGGCTTTTGGACCTGTTGCTGGTAACAGTCTGGACAGTCCTTTTGGTCTTTGGTCTGGAGCAAATGGTGTCCATTCCTTCCAATAAAGACCTGAAATACTGATTCATCTGACCACAGTACATGTTTCCACTGTGTGATGGTCCTTAAGCCTCTTTTAAGCGTTGTGAAAAGGAACGGCAGCATCACACAACATGGTAAACGCTTTACTGTCCCAACTTTTTTTGGAATGTGTCGCAGCATCAGAATTGAAGTGAGTTTAGTTTCAACACAGAATAAAACTGAAGAGGTGTCACATCAAATAATGTGCTGCTGTGTTAATTTCAATGTAATACAGGACACAGATGATTTACACATCACTAGTTTCAGTTTTAATTTTGATTTTACATACTGTTCCAACTCTTTCTGATTTGGGGTGATATAAAGAAAATAACAATTAATGAGTATTCTAGAAGAAATATGCTTAAAGAATTCTGAGAAAGAAATTACCAACCCATTCTCATTATTTGATAAAAGGGACAGGACAAATTTTGATGTTTATCTTTGAACAACATGTTTTTGAACATGTTTTTGTTTTGCACTTTACAGAAATGTAGCATTAACTTTATGACTTTTATAACCTTTTTGCACTGACAACACTCAGTAGCCATTTGTCTTGCTTACATCACTCCTAGATAACAGTAGGTCATGTACTGTAGCTGTACAATAATTGTGTTAGCGTCACAGCAGCTGCTTCCCGTTAATTCCACTCTGATGCTCCTGCCTCTTTGCTACTGTCCTCATCAACACACATAGCAGGTGCTTAAATATGTCGATCACTTTTGCTCTCTTTGCAGTGTCAGTCAGCATAGCTTCTTACTTTTTCTGTCGCTCCTTTTCTGCTCCACTGGCCAAGGGTTTTCTGTTTCCCTCCATGTTTCATTTGCGACCACATGCAGCAAAATGCCCGAGTGCCCTCACTGCTAAAACATCTTGCAGCAGCAGTGCTGTTGCAGCTAAGATGGCCCATGGAATGTCTGATTAGGCTCTGTAATGTCTAAGGGATTTGGAAGAAAAACAAACCAGCCTGCATTAGTTGAGACAGATTGGCCAACTGGGAAAATTCCTGAACCTCCTGATGGCCAGTCCTTGTCTGTCCTCATGTCTTTAATCCTGTAGCAGAACTGTTCCCTGCTCTGCTCTTAGGAATAAAAATACCAATAGTCGCAGGGATTTCATAATATGAATTAATGAAACATTCAAAGCAGTCAAAGAACGATATCTCAAATGACAAGCCTGAATAACTGTCTGTCCTCAATTGCTTCTAATGTCTTTGGGCACCAGAAATCCCTCACATGAAAGTGACTAATCAACGCCACTGGAGCTAACAGTGTTATCCAGCAAATTACCTTGAGCAGCTTTGAACACAGTGCAGCCCAGCTTGAAGCGTTAGCCTGGCTTCTGACTTGACTCTGATGCAATTTCAGTAGATCCCAGCCTGAATGTGGCAGATTTAACATCTCAATAAAAAAGAAAGAAGGCCGTAAGCAAAGAACATCTGCCAAAGTAATTATCATATGAAATGTCATATTTTACTATTATTGTTCCCTATGAAATGTAGTACAGAGTTGAACAGCTCTGTCTAGGGACATCAAAGGAAGAAACAAGAATGAACTTGAAATGGTCAGAAATTACCAGTGAATGACATCTGTTTTTCCAACCCACTAAAAACCAGTGAACCTGTGAACACTTCTCTCTACTGTACTGACCAAAATCTGACACACAGATTCTGCTATCTTCAGGCCCTGTGTATATTTCTACTCCCCTCAGTCTCAACTCAATGATGGACCATGGAGGCTCCTTGTGCAGAGAAAACCCAGGATGGGAGTTGAATTGTCAGACCCAAGAAGCCTTGTTCCGGAGCACATGAAGAGTATGACAAAGGCAAAACCAGGGTTAACATCGGTTTGGCATGTGGGAGATGGAGAACATTAAAAGTATCCAAAGTGCAAAAATTTGACATGACTTTCTTCCTAATAGATGTGTTAGAACTGTAGTTGGCTAATGTGTATATGTTGGCATCATTAGTAAGCTGATGTTGGCATTTCTACTCCCTTTGTATTGAATTATTCTGGTTGTGATTTGGAGTCTTTCCAACTGACTGCAATGTTAGTGTTTGTCTAATTAGCAGAAACCTGTGTGTTTTCCTGGATTAGCAAATGAAATAACTTTGCTAATATTTACTCAGTTTATGTCAGACATAACACTGTAGTCCACAATTTACACCATCAACACAATTAGAAAAGTTGGGAGTTTGTTCAGTTATCAAAGCTTAACATGAAATTTCTTATTTCACATACAACTCACGGTTATGTGCTTCAAGTATTAAACATTGAATGTCAGGCGATAGTGGCCAGAACATTTGTACTGTATCAATATTACTGGGAAAGACATTCCTCTGTATAATTTGCTTTTGTTACTGCAGATACATCCACTACAGACAATGTTAGACATACATATGCATACTGTTAAAATGTAAACCTCTATTTGCCACTGTGTCACTGCAATGCCACTGCAAATCATGGGCTCTATAAGCTCTATATTCCTATACATTAATTCTGGAGCCAGTTATTACTGCTGCGCTACCTGCCTGACATAACTGCCTTTAGCTGTCCTGACCACATATGATGTAGTTTCAGATACAGGGCAGGAGGGGCAAAGAGGAGCAGAAGGAGGATATTACGGCTAATAACCTATACGGTTCAAAATTAGAGGGAGAAGTTAGTAAATTTAGCTTTAAAGTGTTAAAGTAAATTGGTTTTCTCACATTTTACAACAACAACAATGGTGAGTGGGCCTCTGAAATTGTATATTATAATATAAACTACTTGCTGAATGTCAGGACTAATAATAACTAATGTTTTGTATTTAAGTGAAACATTCATAAACCATCTCTGATTATTAATTGTGGATTCATAGGCTATAAACTAAACTTTATCTAATAAATAAACAAGGCATGCCTTTCATGACCATCGGAAACTCTTCTCAATAAAATGCATAATTGATTCAAAGCCAAATCTTAACAGCTTAAACAAAACATTAGTTTTCTAAATGACATATGGATGTAGCTTACCTTTTGTTGTGAGTTTTGTAGTGACAGATGAAATTGGATTTGATGATGATCATGCCGCTGATTTTTGTTTTGCAGACTTAGTATAGTGCTGTGCTCTTCTTACTACTGTCAGTGACAGCCTTGAATCCAAATTGTATTATTTTTGGACTATGCCTCTCCATGATAGCTGCACCCTGTGACCTGTGTTGCCCTCTGCTGGTTTGATGTGTTCTGGTGGCTTGCCAGGTTTGCACTAAAAACCACTCAACTGTGCTTCAAAACAAAACTTAACGGATGAATATCTAGAAAAATGCAAATATTTAATTAAAAAAATATATCTTGAGTCATCTGTCTCAAATCTAAGTCACAGCTCAATTCGTGGACACCAAGTTGAGTCTTTTACCAGTGCTAGTCAAGGAAGTCCCAAGTCCTCAGATTTGGGACTTAAGTCTGACTTGAGTCCCCCACATCTTGTTCACAGCACAGCCTAAAAGGTAAAGAATAGATTTGGATGAAAATTTCTGGAGAGGTAGGGTATGGCCCACAGAACAATCCATTAGAGTCTGGTACTGATATGGATCATCATACAGATCCAGGAATCTTTTAAAAGACTCTTCATCATCGTGAGACCGGGCCAATATCAGTATTTTTGCTTTTTACTCGATATACAGTGCCTAGAATACTTGGACAAAAATTCTACCACACACCAAAGTATGATTTGGATTCAGGTAATATTCCTGATCTGCTGATCCAGAATGTTCAAAGGGCTCATAGAAAACTCGCTACTGTGAAACTACAAATAATGCTACAGACTTGCAACTAACACCAAAGTGTAGCTGAAACTATTTCAACAGCTGCTGTGCTAGAGAAAAATCGCCATTAGTGTAGTATCATTTTTCTTGAATAACTTTCAAATTAATATTGACGTCAGTGTGATTCTACTGTAAGTACACATTGTCAGTCTGCACAGGACATTTATTAGCCATTTGTGGCATTTAGTAAACGCTCATGTCTATAATTTTTCTTGAATAAGTTTGAAATAATTATATCAGTGCCATTCCAAATGCCAGCAGTAGGTGTTCATTCCCAAGGAATCATATTATGAGGGTACAACTATCATGGAAATGTTGCTTATGGATGTAATGGCATTATGGGGAAACTGAGCTGCCTTGGTGAAGGTTTGCACTCTGAATGCTGTCTAGTTATGACTGTTGTAGCATAAGTGTAGTTTTCCAAGTTGAAAGGAGAAGCTCGAATTACCACTTTGCAGTTGTATGCCTTTGCTAACCAGTCGAATTCATGAGAATGGGACAGACATGAGGGCCTTGACCTCTGACCATCAGAATGAGTCTAAGTGGAGA